AGGGTAATAATCCTGTTTTTAAAAACAATAATAATAAATTGGTCACTCAATCCACGACTGTTAGTGGGACACTGCTGTGCGCAATTGGCTGCCGCATTTTGCCCACAAAATATACAGTCAATTCACTTTACTGTGTCACAGAGCTCGGTATTTCATACCCAATGCTTCATTGATTAGAGTTTCTCGAGTCAGGAGGACAAAACCTCCTGTCATAACCGCCATAACAGGATAGTCTGTGAAGAGCTTTGAGACATCTCGAAGATATGAAAAGGCGCTATATCAAATGCAAGGCTTATTATTAAATAATCACTGTCAAGCATACTGACTGTTTTTATGGGCAAATGTGGCAGATATGTTTACACAGAGCAAGTTTACAAATATAATTTTGTTATTGTTGCTTTCAGTGAAACACAATTTTACTCGAACACTTTATAATCCTTGAATTTGATACATTGCCTCATGGTGAAGTTGAATGTCTTGAAGTGCTTCTAAGGATTTTACAGAAATGTGTAGTGACTGTATTTGTAGGAGAGTGTGGCAGCCAATTTATGCTCAGCAATGTCCCAAAACTGTCATGAAGTGAATGATCAATTTTAACTAGGAGGACTGTTTGCCAAGACATCTATAGAAACTTCTTTTCAAATAGTGGCAGAAGGATCTTTAACATCCACCTGAACAGACAAACAGTCTTTAATGTCTTGTCCAAAAGATGGCACCACCGACAATGCAGGCTCCCCCAGCGCTGCACTTGAGTCTCACCAAACTAGTTCAATGTTTCAAAATGCAAGAAAAGTTTATTATCTGTTATCTGAACTTTCTCTTACATTGAGATTAATTTTAAAGAAAGGCCAATTTAGAAAAATAGTAACTGTACTACATGCATGGAGTAGAAAAGGTCTATTTTTCTCTGGGGTCCATTTAAGACGTCTGGACGATGTGATAAGTTAGTTATCAAATGCAAGGATTATTATTATTATGTAATAGGCGTTTCATCGCAAGCTTTGAGTCACCTAATGACTTCCTAACTTCATTCATTTTCTCTGGGGATGGGGAGGGTTCCAAGTCCAGTGATGTATGACAATTAGACTTTGATTTTTTCATTTAGTTTTTTTTTTAAAAGCAGCTTTTTAAACGTATGTGTTTTGCAGATGTTCTGAACTTTGGAGTTTAATAGATTATAGGAGGTTGCTGTGTATTTTCTTTCCCATAGCTACAACAACAATAACAATTTGTATTTATATAGAACCCTTCACGTCGGGAGGATGTCCCAAGGCACTGGGAAATCAGGACCCAAGCTGAAGATTGGGATCGGTAGGGGTGGAGGGCAGAGGGGTTGGGGGTAAGAGGATGACCAAAGGCACGGTTGAAGAGGAGGGTCTTGAGATGTGCCTTGAAGGGGGGAAGGGAGGGAGCGGAGCAAAGGAATTGTGGCATTGAATTCCAAAGGGTGGGGGCAGAGAGGTTGAAAGCCCTATCACTGATGGTGTGGCGGTCTGGGTTGGAAGCATGGAGCAGGCCAGAGCCTGCTGAGCGTAGGGAGCGGACGGGTCGATGTGGAGTTAGAAGGTAACGGTGGTAGGAAGGGGCAAGGCCGTGGAGGGCCTTGAAGGTGAGGATGAGGATTTTGAATATCCTCTGGGGGATGGGGAGCCAATGGAGCCGGGCGAGGATGGGGGTGATGGGGTCAATCACGGAACCTGATGCAGGAGAAGACACGAGCTGCAGAGTTCTGAATGATTTGCAGCTTGTGGAAGGAAGAGTTGGGAAGGCCGACGTCGAGCCTAGATATAATGAATGTGTGGATGAGGGTTTCAGCGGCCTGAGGAGTGATGCAGTGACGGAGCCAGGCGATGTTGCAAAGGCATGTGGAAAGCACGGCACAGATGTGGGGTGGGAAGGACAGTTGGGATCAAACAAATCGCTGGGGTTCCAGACTGGCTCAGTGAGCTGTAGAGTTCATCCATGGATGGTGATGCTGCCAGCGGCAGAGCAGGTAACAGTGTCATTTAGTAATTGGGTTGCAGCCTCACATTCTACTCAAAGGGATCAAAAGTCGAAATTCTGTTAGCACTGTTTTGTGTATTCTTTTGCTCCGAACTGGTAAGACATGAAAGTTCTTCTTTTTAACTATTAGCATCTGGCAGGATCATAAATAGATGAACCATAGCCAGTCAGAAGCTGTTTTCACAAAAGGGTGATAAGTGCCACCTTTACACGTCTTCCATATATAAACGCTATTTGAATGAGCGATGGAAATGCAACCATGTGGAGTGCAGAGAAGTGAGGTGGGAGGTGGTAGGAAGCTGAGCTCTAGGACACAAGTGGCCCTGGTTTGTTGTGCATGAACTGCAGAGGTGTTCTTTCTGGAACAGGTGAATGAGAGTGAGTCGTGCCAGTGGTTCCACAATTTCATGCCTAAGGATGCGAATGACATTCGGGGAGTTAAAAGTCGGTGTGAAGGTGAGGGAATGTACCCGATGATGTCAAGGGCATCTGTTTCAAACACGCATCTTGCATGTGATCTCAAATACGGGGTCAGCATAGTGGAGAAATTAATGACTGTGCAAGTGCGTGCTTTATTCTCGGGCAGAATCTGCACAGAGTTCCAATGGTGCAGATTGAGGGCCCCTAATTATATTAGAGGCGACAGCGGCAGAGGAATTCATAGCTCTGCTGAAGCTATTGAGGGACACCACGAGTACAGTTTATCCAGGAGTTATTACAGACAAGTTGTTCACATTATTATTCTTTGAATGGGAATTGTCCATTTTTACTTTGTTGCCATAATCACAATCAAAAAGGTGCTTCTGGATTGTTCATGAAACTTGCCCACGTGCTTCTTATTTGTATATATCAGCTTCACTGCCATCAGCTTATATGGCTTAACATTTGTCTTTGATTTTGAAAAAGAAGTCTTGAATTAAATTTCAATTTGGAAGCTGATTTTTCAACAGAAAAGAGGCAAAGTGGCATCCAAATTAAAACTGAATTGAAAACTGTTTTCCAAGATTCCACACAATCTTAAATTTTAAGACAATCGTCATCTTCAGCCTAAGAACATGGGAAATGTCAGACCTCAAATGTTTTAAGTTCTATATGTTATGGGTTTCAGTGTGTACAGTTTGCAAGGGATGTGTATCTAATCTTGCTTGCTATCTTGCTTTCAAGTGGAACATTTTCCCTACAATAATGATTTCTGAGTAGAAAATGTAACCTATCCCCGAGAAACTTTGGTCATCAAAAACAGTACAGAAAACTCAAACTATCAAAGATTAATTTAAAATATGGTTTTGAAGCTTCCCACTCAGAGTAACTCCTATATATTTTAGACAAATGTAGATACTGCAGCTTCAAAGGGAAAGTAATATTTACTTTTTTTAAATTTTATTATTTTTAAATACACACAGGAAAAAAAATCACTCTTTTTTGATTGTTAGAACCATTATTTACAAATTTAGGTCAATATTTCATTATCATGAAAAAACATGTATTGTGTTATTTTCATTCACATCAAGAATAGGATGAATAGGACATTACTACGTTGCCGTATGATCTGAAAATTATAAAACACCATTGTTTTAAGGTAATTTTTCAGAATTGGGCAGCTTCTTAAAATGATACTTGCATTTAATATAGTGTCTATATTACATTATGGGACATTACTGTGAGCAAATTGGCTGACGTGTTTGCCTACAAAATACATATCACTCCACTATAATAAATCCTGTGAAATGCCTTGAGATATTTTGATGATGTGATCAGCCGCTATATCAAATGGAAGGGTTATTACTATTATCCCTCCTGTCCAATGTCCGTTTCAGATCATTCTTGAAGTGTTTATCTAATTCCATTTTAAAACATTGTAGTGAAAGGTGCTATTTATATAAATTAAATAGTTTTTGTATTCAAAAATAATTTCTAAGTCATCCGTATTATTTATACTTTAGAATTGTATACTTTAAAGATTTTGAAAAATCTTAAAAGTATAAAAATGGATTAAAAAAACATTGCAAATTATGCATTTTAAGATATTTAAGAAAGCTATGAATAAAATTGAATTGGGTTATTTTCAATCTACAGATGGGAATAGAATAATTTCAAGGTGTTGAAAAAGTTACATTGGTTGCTCGCCCATGTACTATTTTAAGGAGTTCTCTTCCTGAAAAATATTATTGGTAAATTTTTCACAAAGTCAGTATTCCTTTAAGGCTGTAACGCGGAGGTTAGGTTGATTAGGCTGGAAGCTTACAATGAGGTCAAGTGACCAAAGGATACACAGAGGAATGATTTTGTTATTGGATACTGTAGGCATCAATGTTTGCTAGGAATCTGTGCTTAGTTGAGGAAATATAATCGTAATGATGGCATAGCGTAAAGAACGATCTGCCTTGGAGCAGTTTGTGAATACACAGAAAGTAAATCTGTGTATTTTTATGTCAGCTCCTCATTTTGTCTTTTATTGAATTGAAACCTGCAAAAGATGAGGGGTTGTCTATTGCAGAACGTAACTAGATTGTAAACTGCACACCAGCTGCATTTTTCTAGTTAATTTATAATGCAACAATGTTCTAACTTTAATTTCCAATATATGATGAAATATGTAATTACAGTACACTTGCCAAATTATATTCACTTGGAAAACTATGCAGATTTAGTTGATTAAACTCCAGCTGTATCCCCAATGCAAACTCTCAAGTCTCCAAGCTTTTTCTGTCACCAACCTGCGCCTAATACTCTCTAGAATTAGGTAAGCAGGGTGGTCCCTCTGGGGAGAGAGCACACATTGCATTGAAGACACGGAAATCTCCATTTGTAGTTGGCATTCATGGAACTCAGTCTGGTTTGAATACTCTTTAAACATGGTGATGGGTTTACATATGTGTCAGACACTCAGCTGACCGAAAATAAAATTACTGAAGAAATAATCATTGTGAAATGAAAATATTTAATGTACTATATACTTCCAGATTATCAAATGTGTTCCTATTTTTTGATTGAAGGAGCCAGTGAATGGACATCCTCCCATCTCTAATGATATAGAACTGCTTGTTGGGGAAGAAACCAAAGGTTTATTAACAGCAGAGAAGAAACAGATTAAGGTAATTTCAAGATGATCATTGTTTATTCATTTAACTCTGTAAGCTATTTTATAACTCAAATAAACACAATACATATGCTCCGCAGCGGAGCTCTGCTCAGCGTGACGTACTTTTGGTTTCCTTATCCCATACATTTCACTCAAAAATGCTTTACTTACGCTACTTTCTTGCCATGTATCTGGGATGGTCATTGGTACAGGGAGGTCCAAGACAAACGATAGAGAGAAAATCCTTTAAAAGAGAAGTGGGACAGGATATCTGTTTAATTCTCAAAGATGCCTTTGGTAGAGACATGAATCATTTGGGCACATCAATACTTTTGATATTCAACATGAATTATTAGCACATATGGAAGGCTTTTAATGGCCATTTTTTATTCACAAATACATATTTTTGACTTTTTCTGGATCTATTTTTTCTTCTTAAAAAAAATGGGAGAAAATTGCGGGAGGGGCAATTTAACACAATCAAGACCTGGGTAAATTCAGTGAAAATCAGGATTTATTTTGGAATGCTTTCTCATTTCCTTAAACCCACTTATTCAGAAACTGGATTACCTGCAGTAGTACTTTCCTCAATGGACATGAGAACCTGGTCTCAATGCACATCAGCCAAGTGTCAGTCTGACTCAGTTGGTAGCACTCTCACCTCTGATTCTGATTGTGGAAGGTATAAGCCCACTTCCGGTCTTTGAACTCATTATCTGGACTGACATTCTAATGATAGTGCTGAGGGTTTTCTGCGTTGTCAAGAGATGGTCGTCCTTCGAAGAGACGTTAAACGTGAGTTCCCATCTGCTTCCTAGGTGATTGTTAAATATCTTAGGGCACCATTCAGAAAGAGAAGGGACTTTCTCTCTCCGGGTATTCTGGTCAGAGATCCCCCAAATAGAAGTTGGTCATTCACTTCATTCATGGCTGGTTGTGGGACATTGCTGTGAGCAAATTGGCTGCTGTATTTGTCAACAAAATACACAATCACTGCAGTTTACAGTAAATTTTGTGAAACACTTTGAGACTAACTCCTGACCTGGAAGCCACTCTTATCAAATGCAAGGATTGTTATTTATTATCATTATAAATTGTTTTCCCCCCAGTACAGGTGTAAATCAATGCACTTTTCCAAAACTGACTCTTACGTAACATTGCCAGATCTAATCTTAAAGCGAAGTGAATGTGCACACAATCACTGACCCTTGAAAAAGTTGTCAAATTAGGAATTTAAAAGTTGAAAATTAGGTGAAAATAGATTTTTATTTATTCACTTTTGGTGAGAATTGGTTTAAAAGAAGATGATCCTCATACACTTAGAGCCACAGAGATATACGGCATAGAAGAAGCCAATCGTGTCTGTGTTGGCTCCTCAACAGCGATTCTTCTAGTGCCACTAACCTGCCTTTTCTCCATATCCCTGTAGCTTACTCTTTCGAAGGTATTTATCCAATTCTCTCTTAAATACCAATATGGATACTGCCTCAACCTCAACTCCCGGCAAGGTGTTCCACATCCTATAACAACAACTTGTATTATATAGCGTCCCTCACGCAGGGTACCATCCCAGAGAGCTTGACAGTGGCGGAGCACGACGCCGAGCCGGTGGGGGTGAGGGGAGGTGACCCTAGGCACGGTCGAATAGGAAGGTCTTCTTGCGCGACCTGAAGATGGGGAAGGATGGGGCAAGGCCGATGGATAGAGGGAGAGTGTTCCAGCGTTTCGAGGTGCAGAGGCTGAAAGCGTGGCCACCGATGGTGGAACGGAAGGCACAAGGGACGTGCAGATGGCCAGAGCCAGTCAAGCCGTGAAGTGAATGACCAACTTCTATTTGGGAGATCTTAGGTAGCGAGTTGTTGGTTGGGGGTAAGCAGGTCGGAGACATGGGGAGGTGCAAAGGCATGAAGGGATTTGAAAACAAGTGTGAGGATCCTAAGTGCTCTGTGCCTGAAAAAAAATCTCACCTCCCCATTTGCTGGTATACTAACTATCTTAAATTGATACTCTGTAGTTATTGATTCACCAAACTGTGGAAATTATTTCTCCCTATTGGCTCTATCAAAACACCTCACAATTTTAAGGATTTGTATCAGGTCAATTCTCAACCTTTGTTCCAATAGAAAGAGTCCCAATTCCTCCAATCTCAGTTCATACGCCAAATCATCCTAGTAAATCTCTGCACTTCCTCGGTTGCCTTGACGTCTTTCCTAAAGTGGGGTGACCAATACTGGACATAATATTCTAACTGAGGGCTAACTAATGATTTACATACGTTCATCAAATGCTGCTGATGGCTGAAGACCAGAACATGTCAGTGGACCAGAACACATATCTTGGGTTAATTTGCTTTGTATAAGTTTTCAGGCTATCTTCAGTGCTGTGATGCAAAGTAATCAGAGGTACTAACTCTCAGGAGAGATCTGTACTTTCGTAACACTGTAATTACTTCAACCCCTCTTAGAGATTCTCAAATGGTTATTCCTGCCTCATTACTCTGTTTCTCTATTCGTCACCAATGCTCTGCAGATAAAGCAGAGCAGTAGAGGGATGGCTGAGCCACATACCAAACTCGCCGGATGCTTGTGTGACGGGACACAGGAATTTTCAAGGACCTTTGCAAAATCCTGCATCTGTGTCAGACCAGGACTGCCCGGGTTAGATGCCAAATAATAGACATCCCTTCCACCTGGTAGAGGAACCCGCTGCAAGGGGACATAGGCTTAAAATCAGATCTAAGAGAGTTAGAGTTGCAAGCAGGAAGTATTTCTTCATACAGAGGGTTTGGGAAGCTGTGGAATGCTGTGTTCGAGGTAGAATCAATCGGTTCGCTTAAAAGAGAGATTGATAATTGGGTAGTAGAGGTATAAAAAAAGGTTTGAAAGGGCAAGGATTGGGATTAAAAGATTTGATAAAATCCAATAAACTGGTAAAACATGCTCAATAGACTGAATTGTCTTTTCCTGTTCCTATTTTCCTATTGTCCTAAATGTCTTTCTGCATGTTTGCAGGGCTATGGGGAGAGCACGGGGAAGTGGGATTGATTTGGACAGCTCTTTTAAAAGAGCCAGCACAGAGACGATAGGCCAAATGGCCTGCTTCTGTGCTGTATAATTCTATGATTCTATGAAACACCATCACTAGTGGGCATGAAACTAGGAACTAAAAATAAAATTTAAGTAAATCTGCAATTTCCTGAAAATTGAGATGCTTCCATCACCAAGGCTGTGAGTTACAGTTGAATCTGTTTTTATTACTGCTGACTTCATTAAGTCAGTGCATTTTTTTCAATGCAAGGAAAGCGCCAAGACAAAGTGCATGTTTAACGCTCACTAGTGCACTTCATCACAAAGTGATAGTGATAGTTTTGCACGTATTGCTGACTCATCCAACATAAGTAAGCCCCACTACATTAAATTGGATTGCTGCAGTGTTACAAATTGACACTGGGGGAATATTTCCAATCACCATATTTTATTTTAAAACAACGATGCTGGTTTCTAGCTGCCAGGGGTCAAGTTTATCAGATGCTTTGATGAAAGTGTACCCCGTTGGAGGAGATGGATATACAGTTTTCTTTCAATTCATTGTTAGTCATAAGACAATAGAAACAGGTTGGCAATTTCAAAAGGGAATTGGATAGTTTTGATGGGCATCAGAGGCTATGAGAAATGGAAAGCAATCATAATTTGGAAAATAGGATGAGGAGGATTCGAATGGACTTTTCTTGTTTAGTACAATGTTATGTTTTTATTGTTGATGGGTGAGATGGTAAAAGGCAATTCCAGTAATTTAATCGTAATGAAGTACATAATATTTTTTCCAGAATAGTGGTCATAATAATAATCCTTGCATTTGATTTGGCACCTATTATGTTGAGAGCATCTCAGCATTTCTGTAAAGTGTAGTGACTGTGCATTTGTAAGCAAACACCAATTTGTGCACAGCAGTGTGCCTCAAACAGACATGAAGTGACCATATTTTTGTTTACGGGATTGTTGGCTAGTACACCGGGAGTCATTTCTTTTCCAAATCGACCCATGGAATATTTAATATCCACCTGAACAACATGGACAGGACCTCAGTTTAACATTTTACCTGAAGGATAGCGCTCTCCGCCCTCAGCACTGCATTGGAATAGTAGCCTGGACTGAGCTCAAACTCCCAATGTAGAGTTTGACCCCACAACCTTCTGACCCAAAGTCTTAACCAATTGAGCCAAGTTGCTCAGTAGCAGCTTTCGTATTTTGTTGTCTTAACAGTGGGTAATGTACAACAACAGATGACATTTGTATAGAGCCTTTCAGATCAGGAGGATATCCCAAGGCACTGGAAAGTCAGGGATTTGGACCCGAGCTGAGAGTTGGGATCAGGAGGAGTGGAGGGTGGATGGACCGTTAAACTAGATTTGAGTCAGGTGTGATGAGGGATCAGAGGTGGCTGGTGTACAGGGTGACTTGCATGAGTAGGAGGCAGTCCGGGAGGTGAGGGGGGGTGACGGCATCGAGAGTGGCGGAGAGGGAGTTGTGGAGGAGAGTGACCGAGGAGGATAAGTTGGTGCAGGAGGAAACCAGAGAAGAGGAGATTAGATGATTTCAGGGCAGCGGAGAGGGAGTGGGGGTGGGGGAGGAGATGTTTTTTCAAGGGCGGTAGGAGATGGAGTTTGGTTGGGTAGTGGGCAAGGGGGAGAGGGATGGAGGCGTTAAGGGAGATGAAGAAGTGTCCAAGATGGCTTTGTTGGTGATGGTGAGATCCGAGAAAGTGAGGCCCCGGGTAATCACCAGATCAAGAGGGTGGCCATGAATGTGGGTAGCAGAGTGGATGTGGGGGGAGAGGTTGTGAGAGGAGAGAAGGGAGCAGAAGTCAGCGCAGAAAGAGCAAGAGGGGGTGAAGTACAGGTTGAAGTCACCCTAGGATGAATAGGCGTTCAAAGCAGAGGCAGAGGGAAGCTGGAAGGGTGGAGATGTCAGTATGGAAGATGGGGATTGTTTTGGGAAGCGATAAATAGGAGAATTTTGAGGAAAGATTGGAGGGATGGTAGAGGGTAAGGTGCTTGAAGGAGGGGAAGGAACTGGAGGAGTAAGGGATTAGATAGGGAAAGTGAGGATTTGGAGATGAGGCCCACACCACCACCATGGCGGTTAGGTCTTGGGGAATGGTGGAAGGTTTAGCCGTGTGGTGTGGCCTCGGTCAGGTTGAAGGTGGCGCCTGGGGTGATCCAGGTTTCTGTAAGGGAGAGGATATCAATGTTTCCATCAACGATGAATTTGTTAATGACGAGGATTTTTTTGTACACTTGAGTTAGAGTGCACCTGACATTTGAAGCACTTTACCACAGTAAAAAAGGGACCGAAACAAGCTACTGAAAGTGAGACTTAGTCTGTTTCTTGTCTGATGGTAGTCTGGCAGTCATTCAGCACTAAGCAGGGAGTTAAGTTTGTGTGAAAACTTGTGTTTGTAAGTACTGCACTCTCCATCCTTGAGTGCAGCGCTGTGGTTAAGTGAAGCAATATGTGCTCTGCAAGATTCTGAAGCTATTGTTTGAATTCTCCTCACAGACCAAGAAGAAAAAACAGCGAATGGATGAGAGATCATCAAAGGAACCAAATATTTCAGCCAATGGAAATGTAAATGAGGAAGAAGCGGGTGAGTTTCAGAATTAGTCATGGATGTGCAGAGTTTGGTTCCGTGATGAGGACCTAGGTGGCAGATTTTTGGATGAGCTGGACCTTATGGATGGTGGAACTGCAGAGACCAACGATGAGTGCATTTGAGACGCTGAGGCGTTGATGACAAAGGTGCAGATGAGGGTTTCAGCAGCATTTGATGTCAGGTGGGATTGGAGGCAGAGACGCTTTTAAGTCCTGACATGAGGCTTGAATATACATGGTCATTGTTTTTGAGTGTTTTCCTCCAGCAGTTGGCTGTAATTTTGAACAGCCTCCACACATTGTCTTGACCTCCCAAATGACTGTGAGCTTAGGAAATCCTGACTCCTCCAGTTCTCCACCCAGTATCAAAAGACACAGATAGGGAGACAATGTAAATGGGTGGATTCTCTACCAGGAAGGGAAACATTCCTGTTCATGGAAAGTACATGGCATTGCTTTTACGATAGAAATTACAGACATATTCTAGCCAGAAGTGCACTGTTTACACAACCAAACTGGAATTCAGTTCTGGGATCATGTCACAAATAATATTAAAATGAAAAAGAAAGGATTCTATCTTTCTTTCTTCGTATTGTTGAGACTCATTCATAATAATAATTGATATAGCATCTTATCACATCTTTGAGACATTTCAAAGCTCTTCACAGAATATAGTGTAAAATTAATTGACTATAATTTTGTGTGTGAAATGTGGCAGCCAATAGCATACAACAGTGTCCCACAAACAGTCGTGGATTGAATAGGCAAATTATATTAAAAAAAAGGATTATTATCCTGGAAAACTGATCTGTCAATCGACTAACAACCGTATTCCTACTTATGATTCATGAACAAATAAGATTCCTTGCTGAAAAGAATGATCAGATTTGTACTGGGCCAACCCAGAGTTCTGAAAACTTTCTGCAGTCAATGTGCAATTTGTTGCTGCATTTCACCCACTGAATATACAGTTAATTCTTTTTACAGTATATTCTGTGAAGCGCTTAGCGACGTCTCAACGCCGTGATAAAGTGCTATATCAAATGCAAGGATTATTATTATATGTTTTGTGACAATAAGTTGCTTAATTTTCAACTAGGGTTTAAGGCAACGCACGGAGGGCATGCTCCAGCCCTGTTTGTAGTGACATTGTGTTTCAAACATAATTTTGCTCCTTTTTCAGCTGATGCACAATTTACCATGGACCAAAGTAATTTAATATAAACCCTCCGGTTATGTGTGTGTTCAGGCTGTGTGTGAGGGGTGGGGGGTGGAATTGGAGCAGAACCATTGGCAGAAGTGACTGTTGGCAGCATCTAGCCCAGCTCGGATTCTAGAAATGTAAAATGAAGCCAAATGGAGTCTAAATTAAGATGAGTAATGTCAATCTGCCTGATGGTCAGTCCACAAATGGCTCTCCAGATGATGAGAGCAGCATACACTGTCCCCTGGTTAGCAACTGGAGACTCGTCAGCACTTTACAAAACAGAAGTCAAACCTCCTGACTATCGTGTTGAACAGACTTCACAAGAACAAATAGAATGTCCTTAATTTTGGGGAGGCTTAGGATTTTTTACATATCCCTTTCTCCACTATCGAGTCTCTCTGAGTCGTGCAAAAATCTCAGTAGACAAAACAGGTGCCTCATTCCCAGGCCTCTTATCAATGTAGGCCTTGCTGGCAACCTCTCTTGTATCTTGGACACATATTTGGGAACTGATAAACAATCATTAAAGATTAGTTGACTTACCGATTTTCATCATAAATACCATTTTTCATCATAAATGCCCATTTTTACCATAAATATACACTTTTCCCATCATAACCACCCCTGCATCCCACCCCCGCGTTTACCATAAATGTCCATAAATATCTGTTTTCCTTTTAAATACCATTATTCCACCGTAAATAAGATTTTGGATGTTCCAAAAGAAATAACATTAACAGAAATGTATTCCTATCAAACTTTTGACCCTCGATTTTCTCTTTTTTGAACACCCCAAAAAAAAATGGAAAATAACAGGGTTTTTATTCAGTGAACAAAAAATGATTTCAGTGGTCCTCAAAGAATTATAGACTTTGACAATTTAAAAATCACAAGGTTACGATGACTCACTAAACGAAAGAAATAATACAAAATAACACCAGTGACACCTTTATTCAAAAAGGAAGATATTTTTGGAAGATTTTAATGGATATATAAGATTGATCAGTGATTCATTCTCGCCTGAAGTTATTTATTGGAAATTTAAAACGTGGTGATTTCAAACTGTTTTCCTAAAGTAATGAGTCCATCTGGAGGCCCTTTCCAGTAACCAGGGTCTCCTTGCCGACTGGTGGTAAGTTCTCTCCAAACGTAGGAGGCATCAAAAGGGGTTCCTTCAAGGCAGCCTAACGTATTTCCGGATTCCTTCATTGAAAATTCCAGTTTGAAATCGCTTCGTTTTGGACCCCAGTATGGGGGGAAAAAAGCGTTTGGTGTGTTTTTTATTTGGCTTTGTTAAAGCTGTTGTATACCATATACAAACTCCATTGAATGTTTTTTCAACTTCTAGGGGATTGGGTGACTAAAATCAGCAACCGAGAGAAGCGCCAATTGAGGAAAGAGCGACAGAAGAAGAAGAGTGATACAGGCAGCTGCCTTGATCCTAGTTTTTTGGGTCATTCTGACGGACGTAGGACCACCTCAAAACCAGCCGGAGACAACAGGGGCTCAGATGATCAGGAAGGTACCCCTTAACACTGTCATTATCCTTTGGTTGTTGATTGAAGACCTGAAATGATAATAAATCTTACATATGATATAGCGCCTTTCACGTCGACGAGACCTGATAACTTTTGATAGGGATATACTGCATAGTGTGGTAACTTTCTAGACATATTTTCTAGACAAACACAGGAACCAACTGGTGAACAGCAATGCCCACAAATAGCCATGGTGTGAGTGACCAACTTTATTTGAGGGATTGCTGAACAGGACACCGGAAGAAACTCCTTTCTCTTTTCGAATAGATCTTTAACGTCCACCTGAACAGGCAGATGGGACCTCAATCTAAACATCTGATCCGAAAGACGGCACCTTCAATAATTCACCCCCCCACCAGCATTGCATTGGAGTGTCAGTTTAAATTATATAAATTCAAAGTCCCGAAAACCTTCCGAGGCAAGATTAGTCCCAGCTGAACCAGGCTGACACACACATAATAAGAATAATCCTTGCATTTGATATAGTGCCTAATCACAATATTGAGACGTCTCAAAGCGCTTCACAGGATATACTGTAAAGTGGATTGACTATTTTGTGGCTAAACACGGCAGCTAGTTGGGTACCCTTTAGTAGATGACAGGAGGATTTCTTAGAGAAAGCTATTATGTTGCAAGGCCTTCAGTTAATTCAGTGAATACAGCAAGGCAAGTGTAAAAATGAGCACACCAAGGCCAGTATAATAGTGAATATTACAAGGTGAGTGTAATAGTGAGCAAGCCAAGATGAGTCTAATAGTGAATATGCCATGGCAAATGTAATAGGGAGTGCACCAAAATGAGTGTAATAGTGAATACAATAAGGCAACTTCAGCCCTCAAGCTTCACAAACATCTGTGAGTCAGAAATAACCTTGTGAGAAAGACACTATAATTAGCACAGCTCTGGCTGGAAGGAAAAGGATACATAATTTATTCAAAATCATAATATAATTTTCAGCAGACAAATAAGTACATCTTGATTGAGTTCCCCTGCCTCGGAGACTGGGTAAAGAAGCCCAGCTCCATCCAGAGCTCTGCATGTCGTGTCATTCCCTGCACGAGGCCCCGCGAACCCATTACCCTCATCCTCATTCAGCTTCACTGGCTCCCCATCCCCCAGTGGATCGAATTCCATGTTCTTATGCTCACATTCAAATGCCACCATGACATCCTACCTCTGCGACCCTACTACCCTAGCCACTCCTTTCGCTCAGAAAACAGTAGTCTGCTTCACATCCTCTACCCCACCATCACCACAATAGTCTTCAGCTATTTCACACCCACCTTCTACCCACTGCCTTGCCCCTTCCCCTCTGCCTTCAGGACCTGCCTTAAAACCTATCTCTTGTGCCATATTATTTTTCGGCCACCTTTCCTCTCCCCTCCTTAGCTCAATTCGGGGTCCCAATCAATTATGCAAAGCTTTTTGAGACTTTCTCCTGACATGAAAGGTACTAGATAAATGTAAATTGTTGTTTTAGCATTCAATTAAATTCCTAAGCAATTAGAAATATTTGCACAGAAGCAAAGGTATGCCTAAACAAGAAATAGTTTGGGATGTATTGTCATGATCATTTTCTCAGCTGTTTAAGTGCTGAGTGTATTAAATTAGGCAGACTGTAAACGGGTGAGATCCTATAGCTGGATATTTCAGTCAGAGTTGGTTGCTTATAATGTAATAAATAGCTTCAGAAGTCATGACCTGTATTCTGATCTGAGTTGTGACTCTGAAACAGAATCCTGTAATATGTACAACATTTGCCCTTTTGCCTGAATGATTACAATGCTGGTGGAGAGGGGTATTAAATTATTACTCGAAGATAAGTTATATGTTTGCCATTCGCACTGCATATGGCACATTCGAATTATTCTTGGTTCAGTATGTTGGTGATTTTTTTCCCTGTGTGCTTACGATTAACTCCAATGCGATGTTAATGTACACAATATCTCAGTTTGGTGAACACTGGACCTTTGGGTTATGGGTTCAAGATGGTTTCCGCCTGCCCATAATACAGAGACAGCCTTAGTTAAAGTGATAAATGACATTCTGTCTATTTGTGACTAACAACAACAACAACAACAACAACAAGATTCCATTTATAAAGCGCCTTTCACGTCAGGAGGACGTCCCAAGGCGCTGCACAGTTGGGTCATGACCCGAGCAGGGGGGAAATGGTCAGGGTGAGGGGAGCGAGGAGGGTGGAAATGGTTAGGGTGAGGGGAGGGAAGGGAGGGAGCGAGGAGGGGAAGAGAGTCGAGAGGGGAGCTGAAGGCTCGGTCAAAGAGAAAGGTTTTGAGACCGGCCTTGAAGGAGGAAAGGGAGGAAGCAAGGCGAAGGCACTGGGGGATGGAGTTCCAGAGCCTAGGGGCTGAGAGGCTGAAGGCCCGACCACCGATGGTAGGGCGATTGGGGCGGGGGACGTGGAGCAGACCGGAGCCGGAGGAACGGAGGGTACGGGCAGGTAGGTAGGGGGATAGTAGGTTGGAGAGGTAGGAGGGAGCAAGGCCGTGAATGGCCTTGTAGGTGAGGATGAGGATCTTGAAATCAAAGGCTAAGGCTCTCTCTGTCTCCTCATCCTTCTTGATCTCTCCGCTGCCTTTGACACTGTTGACCACTGTATTCTTCTCCACCACCTCTCGTCATAGCTACACTTTCATGGCTCTGTTCTTGTCTGGTTCTGTTTTTATCTTTCCCATTGTTTCCACTTTGTTTCCACCCATGGCTTCTCACTTAGCCATCGCACTATCACATGTGGTATTCCCCAGGGCTCTGACCTTGGTCCTCTCTGCAAAAATGGATTAACTTCTATGTGTTTGTGGATGATACCCAACTTTATCTCTCTGCCTCCACCCTCGACTCCAGGACCACTGCTGTCCTGACGGATTGTCTGTCAGAGTTCAAAGCCTGGATGAGAGACAATTTTCTATGCTAGGAGAAGCACTAGGTACTGTTCAAAGGCGACATTAACCTGAGGTCCCTTCTGCCTGTTCAATTGGACATTAAAGTCCCATGATGGGGAGCAACTCTGATGGTATAGTGGATGGAGCTTATAGAGCAGGAGCTCGCTGGTTCATATACTATGCTGAATTTGCTAGTTTCAGTCAGAATTGCTTGGTGAGGTTAAATCCTGGAGCTCAGTGGTTAGAGAACTCGCCTTGCAAGCGAGACACTTAACTCTCCGACCTACTATTCCCCTACCTACCTGCCCGTACCCTCCGTTCCTCTGGCTCCGGTCTGCTCCACATCCCCCACCCCAACCGCCCTACCATCGGTGGCCGGGCCTTCAGCCTCTCAGCCCCTAGGCTCTGGAACTCCATCCCCCAGTGCCTTCGCCGCCTCCTCCCTTTCCTCCTTCAAGGCCGGTCACAAGACCTTTCTCTTTGACCGTTCCTTCAGCTCCCCTCTCGACTCTCTACCCCCTCCTCGCTCCCTCCCTTCCCTCCCCTCACCCTGACCATTTCCCCCCCTGCTCGGGTCCTGACCCAACTGTCCGGCGCCTTGGGACGTCCTCCCGACGTGAAAGGCGCTCAATAAATGGAATCTTGTTGTTGTTGTTCGATTCCAGGCAGGGCGAAACCTTGGGCAAGTTTCCTTACTCCACACACCTAATAATAATCCCTCCAAAACAATAATAAATTGGTCATTTTCAATCCACGACTGTTTGTGGGACATTGCTCTGCGCAATTGGCTGCTGCGTTTCGCCCACAAACATACGGTCAATTCACTTTACAGTATATTCTGTAAAGGGCTTTGAGATATCTAGAAGACGTGAAAAGCACTATATCAAATGCAAGGATTATTACTATTATTGTCCCCAGAATAGAGAGGGGAAAACTAGCCAGGTTTGTTCGCGCTCCGGGACGCTACCCTGAGTTAAGGGTGCTATGTAAATGCAAGTTGTTGTTGTTTGTGGTCACTCTTAACATCCTCTACTGTAGTTTGTGTGCTGGTGTGTGAGCATTACCCAGGAAAATCAGAAAAATAATAAGACACACGAACAATTTTTTTTAAAAAAAGAAATATACAACCCAGAATTTTTAACCAGACTGAAGGTTCTACTTACACGTGAAAATTTCCCCCTGTCTGGAATGGAATGCGCACTCTCTCCCTGGAGGGATGCACCCGCCTACCTAATTCCAGAGAAAAATTAGGTGCAGGTTTAAAAGAGCCCAAGATGTGCAGTTGAAAAGAAAGGTTTTAAAAGTGGGACCAACAGTGGGACCTACCTTTAAAACCTTAATAAAAGGTTTATTTTAATAATTATTTTATTTTTTAATAATTTTTTTGAAGGGATTATTACCCCCGGAAAAGCGATCCACCAATCGACTAACAACCGGGTTCATTATTATTATTATATGCATTCATTCTTAATTAATTTAATTCTTAATTAATTATTGATGTTAATCATCAATTATTAATTACTACATTATTATTATATACCCAGATAAGTACTTAACACATTGCCTACTGAAAAATCCTGTTGACAAGTGTATCAACAAATGAAGTGACATGAGCTGAGAGAGTTAATTTGTAATATGCAATATTTGAGGTAGCATCTGGATATTAATATTATTCCAAAGCAAATATGAACGTCGGAGGACTTTTTCCCAAGAGCTATCGCTCCCGCAAGAGGGGCTGGGTTGGCCTGCGACAGCCAGCACATTTGATTGCAATTGATAGTGAATTTCCTTCATGATGTCTGGAGTGAAGGTGTAGCAACTCACTTTAGGTGAAGGGGAAATGAGCTTTTGTTCAACTGCTCCTCTGAGAGCTGATTTTAATTTGAAAGCCTAGTTCTGAAAAGAATAGGTGATGGGGAAGATTACAGTGATTTATCCACCAATTGTGGAGTCCTGTAGCACAGTGGTTACAGCACTCGCCTCTCAAGTGAGAGACCTGGGCTCAATTCCCGGCAGGGCGAAACGTTGGGCAAGTTTCCTTACTCCACACGCCTAATAATAATCGCTCAAGAAAAAAAACAATTTGCCCTGAAACATTGCAACTTTCTCCCTCAATCCCTCCACCTTGCCCCCTCCTTCCCTATTTTTAGATCCTTCCTCTTCAACCGTGTTTACAATCTCCTCAGCTTCAGGCTCCGCCACTGTAAAGCGCTCCGAGACACTATCCCGCATGATGGGTGCTAATTAAATGCAAGTTGTTGTTATTGTCCAGGCCCTAGAGGCAGTGCAGAGAAGAATAAGCAGGATGATCCCCGGTGTTAAAGGAATGAGCTGTGGGCAATGATTAGACAAGCAAGGGTTCTTTAGTTTTAAGAGAAAATGGCTCACTTTGGAACTCCATCCCACAGTCCCTTCGCCTTGCTTCCTCCCTCGCCTCCTTCAAGGCCGGTCTCAAGACCCTTCTCTTCGACCGTGCCTTTGGTCTCCCTCCCACCTCTCTGCCTTCCCTCACCCCTACGCCACCCCTCCCCCATGCTCGGGCCCCAACATCTGACTGTTCACCGCTTTGGGACACCCCCCCAACGTGAAAGGCGCTCTATAAATGGTAATTTTTTTGTTGTTGTTGTAAACTCAGAGCAATACTTTAGGATGCACCAAGACAGTACAACAGGAGGACATAGGTTTCGAGTTGCATAGGGCAATTTCAGGACAGATACCAGAAAGTTTTTCTTTACCCAGAGGGAGGGTAATTAATGACAGACAGGATACAGGAATGGTGGTTGAGGCCAGGACACAGGACTCATTCTTAACAAAAAAAAACTTACAAAATTAATTTAAAAAGGTTTCTGCTGTTCAATAGCCTTGCACCACCCTAAGTCTGGGCACACACTTAAAGAATAGCTACTTGGGTGGGCCAGCACCTTTAGGAGAGAAGAAAACTGAAACAGTCACTGTACAGTCCACAGGGATTATATTGACTGGATTTATTCAAAGGGTAGCAGTAATTTATATTCCATAGCAGTTTAACACAGCAATCTTATCTAAAGCTGGCCGGAAGTTTCCATTTTCCCAGTACATTCCCAGTGCACAGTTATTTTTAAAATTGGCAAAGACTCTGTAATCAACCTGGTCTTGGCCAGGACACCAGGAGAAACTCTTTTCTCATTTCAAATGGTGCCAAGGGAACTTTAACATCACCCTGAAAGGCAGTTCTTGGTTTAACGTCTCATTTGAAGGACGGCACCTCTGACAATTCAGCACACTCCAGTGCTGCGTTGGAGTGATTCATCCAGCAGTCAGATGGAACGAACTAGACTGAGACTTGAATCTGCAGTCTTCCTTTCTCAGAAGCAAAAGTGCTACCAATTAAGCAGGATTATCACAAATTCATTTTGGAGGAAATACTGACTGCCATTGAAACCACAAATTCATACCTTGCACCTTAACCTAGGGTAGTTACGTCCCTAGATCTGAATCAATTATAAATGAAGTTAAATTCGTACAAGGCATTGGTTAGATAGCAGCTGGATCCTGGGTACAGTTTTGGGCACCCAATTTTAGAAGGGACATCAGAGCAAAGGAGAAGGTACAGCATGGAGTCCCTGGTACCAGGGATGGAACAGTGAGTTCTGAGAATAAGCTCATAAAATTGGAGCTGTTTTCAGTGAAACAGAAAAGGTGAAGAGGAGATGTAATAGAGATCTTCAAAAATTCTGGGAGGAAAAATTGTGAAAGTCTTTGCACTTTCCTTGGTAAATCGGTAACAAGGGAGCATAGAAACAGTGCTGAATTTGGAAGAAATAAAATTGAAAGATTGTTAGAACATTCACAGAAATCAGCAATTGAAACTATGACCATAGAGAACATTAAATTAGACAAATATTTGAAAAACAACATAAAAGTGTACAGGCAAAGAGCACAAATCGATAGCTCCAGTGGAGGAGATAGCAGCCTGCTCAAATACCGTGATCTTGATGATTCTATGAACAGTGCTCCATAAATATCCACTAATGCTGTGCAAAATCCGCTGCAGCATTTCGCCCACAAAATATAGTCAATCAATTCACTTTATAATATATTCTGTAAAGTGCTTTGAGATGTCTCCAAGGATGTGATAAGGCGCTATATCAAATGCAAGGATTATTATTATTGTTCATTATGCAGGTTCTTTTCATTACCAGTTATTTTCTTTACCCTCAGAGAGCCCTGGATGGAGCTCCCCGCCTGTTTCTGTGATTGACCCAGCAGTCAGCTGGAACGAACTGGCCAACAAAACCAGCGGCTGGCAGCTCACAACTGGAGGAGGGGCAGATGCTGACCGCCTGGGCTGGGGGCTCTTAGACAGACCCGTGGCCACCTCAGGGTGGGGAGGAACGGTGAAGGAACCGAGCAGCAGTGGGGTTGACTGGGACACTATGGAATCGGTGGAACAGGACATCTTTGCTAATATCGGTCAGTACCCTGAGGATTTTTACATGACGGTAAAGGTTGGGGACTCGATAGTGCTGTTGGCAGCCAAAGTTGATGCGGGGGGGGAATGAATTTCTCTGTTATTAGAAGCCAAAGTGAAATCCATTTAGGGAGTCTTCCACACGTTATTCCTTAATTTACTGAATCTAAGTGAAGACTCCTTCCAGCAACCATCTTCCTGAATCCCTTCCGTCCAGCTGCTCTCTCTGCTTAGAGAATACTTGTTTCATGTCCCTGCCGAATCGGTTTGAGCTTTCAGCCATCTGCCCCACTCTCTGAAACTCCATCCCCCTAAATCTCTCCGCCTCCCCCACACCCTTCACCCCCCCACTTTTAAAGTCCACCTTAAAACCCACCCTCTCGATCCTTTTCCTGACCTCTCCCCCCTCCTTCTCAGATCTTCCCACCCCCAGCTGGGGTTCTGAATCAGCTTGCCAATTGCTTTGATATGGAAGACACAATATAAATGTAAATTGTTGTTGGAGCTAGATTTATCCATAAAACCATAGAAATTTACAGCATAGAAGACCATTCAGATTAAGAGCAATCCATTTACCAAGAGCAGTCCCATTTACCTGCCCTTTCCCGATACCACTTGACTCCTTTAAGGTATTTATCTTAGTTGCCTTTTGAAAGCTAATATGGTTAGCCAAATCCTAATAGGTCCCATTGTAAAACATGATCTGCGATTTTCCTACCTAATCCCACCATTCAGGAAGGAACAATATTGCTACTTTAGCTATCAAATTAATTTACTGATTTGTATTTAGGAACCTGGGACAACAAGACAGGTGTTAAATGCCCGCCTGTGACCTTTGGCGCATTTCCTGACTCTTCCTGCGAAGCAAGTAAGTGGAAGACGGCTCTGGTGTCTGAGACAGTTACATCTCAGTTCATTTCAATAGCCAGAAACTAGCTATTTTCAGCTGATTTGCATATTCAAAGACCAAACGGAGAATACTGGAGGACTGCAATAAATTAAAAACAGTAATCCCCCAGAGGAATTCAAATAATGCCATCAACTGAGATTGTTTGATATCTTTTGCTTGTTTGACATTTTTTTTGTTGCTTTGGTTGTCTTCATTAAAGAAATTTTTGTGGCAGAACATCTCAGACTAGTCACCGTGAGCAGGGACTCTTTCCACTCAGCTTCTATGAATCTTGCAAAACAAAGCCCTAATGTGGTCTTAGCTGGATAAGGAGTGGGAAAGCTTGCCAGATAGTGGCATCAATAGCAAGCAATGCTGTTTTGGCTGGTTAAAACTCCAGCAGTACCCCCAACTCAAACTCTGCATACCCAAGCCTTGGCTCTTGCCAATCTGCACCTAGTGCTTTCCAGACTTAGGTAAGCAGGTTGGATCGCTCCAGGGAGACAGTACGCATTCCATCAAAGCAAATGGAATTTCCATGTGTAAGTGGGATGCATGGAATTCTCAGTTTGATTTGGATACTCTTAAGCATGGTGATGAGTTTCCACACGTGTCAGACATCTGGTTGACCCCAAAACATGAACTGGTACCTCACAGAATGGCACACTGTTGCAGTAGGAGCTCATAAATTACATGTTTATTTTGTTGGCGTATCACAGAAAAATTTACTACTATACATTAACAAAGTAAAGTAAGACCCTGTTAGAATGTGTTTCTTGAGCCGATTGGGTTGTAATGCAGTTGTGGACCCCGGTTACTGTGCGTGTGCACTGTGCACCTACATTCTGCTCTCCAATCATCTCTGCAATGAAATGCCCAACTTCTGGATCAATAGGACGTTGCTAATGTCACTTCCTATGCACTGAACATGAGAAGTGAAACCAGCTGTGGCAACCGCCGTATAGAATGGGTTGTAAACTTAGGGAGCTCAACAACCACAGTATAACAAGGCTCCTTTACAAGTCAACTAAATAGCCTAGTGCTTATTAACAACAACAACTTACATTTATATAGAGCCCCGTACGCAGAGTACAGTTTCAGAGCGCTATTGTGCCATTAGTTCCTACATTAGATCGTAGCACGGATTAATTTTAATGGAAAAGCATTTTTTCAGAAGTCCTATGCCATCTTAGTACGACTTATGTCCTGAGGCGGGTACAAATCCTCAAGCATTTCCCGCTGTTATTGTCAGCCACTCTATGTAATGTGAGATCACTATTTTTACACTTACCAATGCAAGGCCATTCATTTTTTTAAAAAGAAAGGTGAAATCCTGTCACTTTTAAATTCACTTTTAAAGCTCTCTACAGCCATGCTCTCCCTAACTCTGGGACCTACTCGCACCATACCAACTGGTCCGCTCCCTCTGCTCGACAGGCACTGGCTTCCGCCCTTCCCGTCCCACCATTGGCGATCAGACCTTCAGCTTTTCTGCCCTCACCATCTGGAGCTCCATTCCAGATTCCAGAATCCCTCTGCCTCAGCTTCCATCTCAATACCTTCCTCTGTGATCGTGCCTTTGGTCATCTTGCCACTCCCCCTCTTGATTCCAACGCCCAGTTTGGGTGCAAACCCTTAACTGTCCAGCACTATGGGACATCCTTCTGACGTGAAAGGCACTTTATAAATGCAAAGGAAGGAAGAAATCAGTTTCCTGTTTCCTGCAATCGATTTCTATTGATTGAAAAGTGTTGAGTGTCCTATTAGTGCATCAGAGCTGAGCTGCTGTGTATCTACACATCGCTCTGCCATCTGCCCTCGGTAACAAGGTGAGCAACCCTTGTTCTCTGTTCATACCTTGCTGAAATGCTGCAGTTAAAGGCAGTGATATCAGCTGTACTGACCTGAGGTTAAACATCAGGAACTGATTGTATTCTACCAGTGAACTGAGCTAGTAACTCAAATGATGAGCGAATAATATTATAGTCAGTGTCACAAATAGATGGTATATGGATAATATGGATAGTACTTATACACCTCATCCGAGATTCTATAGAACAATCAATCAAAACTTGCATTTAGCATTTGCATATGCATTCAGTGCTATCGATTCCAAGGTAAGCAGTGAAAGTTAACATGATAAATGTTGGATGTAAATATTAACTTTAAACACAAACTGTTTCAGTTGCACAGTAGATGTGTAAATGCTGGGGTCTAAAATTCACTGCAAGTTGACAAACATTTTGGTCCAGACTTATAAAGCAGTGGATAGGCCTCAGTGTAAAATCTTGTAAGCGCTCTGGGATGCTACTTTGCATTAGGGGTGCTATATAAATGTAAATTGTTGTATTGTTGATGTTTCTTCATGTTTGTGCTGGATTGTGATATAATTTTCCATGGCAGATGTAAAATGTTTCTCAGAGGGAAGATATAGTTTTACATGCTCTAATAATATGTTGCTAGCTCACAACAACAACAAGAAGTTCCATTTGTATAGCGCCTTTTTATGTCGGGCGGACATCCCAAGCCACTGGACAGTCAAGGATTTGCACCCGAGATTTACATTTAATTACATTTAATTTAATAAATTCATTTAATTTAACTGCATGGTTGTAACTTTCGAAATCTGTTGCATCTCTAAAATCTGCTGTGATGCAAATATTCATTTCTCCTTCAGTTACCCCTGATAACACCTCATCTCAAGAAAGTCCGTCCAGAGGTCAAATGAGTGCATCACTCTCGCCTCCTACGGTTGACGAAGCATGGCTTGGACTTGGTAAGTGATTCTGCTTCTTGTTGCGTGTAACATCTCTCAGCATAAATCTATTTTAGGGCCTAACTAAATCTAGTCAGTGAAAGTTTTTTTTGTTCGGCCGCAGAACCCTGTCACAATGCTTAAGAGTATCCAAACCACACTGAGAGCCCACATATCATGAAAAAAATGGTTGTATTGGGAAATGCAGCAGTTCACACGGCACATTAAATGAGGTGCCAGTCGTTGCTATGGACAGACTAGAAACCAAATATCTCTAGTTTTCAACATGAGAACAACGTCTAAGTTAGCTAATTAATTGTGTTTTGATTGTCTACTTGTCGTGCCCAATAGATTTTTTTGAATCGCAGGCTTATCTTGCATTCCCTCAGTCCCACCATTAATACCCTGTTCTCTGTCTCTGCACCATCTTTCCTTGTGGCATTGGCCCAAACCCTTAAATTCCCTTTCATTGTCTCAGGAATCCCCATTTTAGGTGTCAGTCGGGCTCAGTTGATAGCATTCTTATGTCTGAATCAGAAGGTTATAATAATAATAATAATCCTTGCATTTGATATAGCGCTTTTCACGTCGGGAGGACGTCCCAAAGCGCTTCACAGAACACACTGTAAAGTGAATTGACTGTACATTTGTGGGCGAACGCGGCAGCCAATTGCGCACAGCAATGTCCCACAAACAGTCGTAGATTGAAAATGACCAATTTATTATTGTTTTTGGTTTTGGAGGGATTATTATTAGGTGTGTGGAGTAAGGAAACTTGCCCAAGGTTTCGCCCTGACCTGCCTGGAAATGAACTCAGGTCTCTCGCTTGCAAAGCGAGTGCTCTAACCACTGAGCTACAGGACTCCACGTTATGTGTTCAAGCCCCACATTTGAGCTCATAGTCAAGGCCAGTGATGGCCAACCTTTTTGATAAGACAGCAAAATAAATGTTCTTCATTGAATAATTCTTGATTTATGCATAAATCAAGAAATATACAATCATGAAAAAACTGGAAACAAAACATTGATTTAGAACTGACTCGCATAGACCAGGTCACCTCTTGACGGCCACCCAGGCCATGGGTTAGCCCTCACTGGTCTAGGCTGAAACTCCAATGCAGTGCTGGGGAAGTGTTGCGTTGTCACAGGTACTGACCTGTGGTTTAAATGTTTAAACCAAGATCTTTTCCAGCTGTTGTGGTGAACATTAAAGGTCACATGATGTTATTTGAAAAGTATCTCCCTGGATTCTAGCCAACAAAAACCCACAGCTGAAACAAAAACAAATTGGTCATTCACTTATGGTTGTTCTGGGGACATTGCTGTGTGCAAATTGGATCACCTACAAATATGTTGTACAGAAAAAACTCTGAACCACTTTGAGACCTTTCAGCATGATAAGGTGATATATTAAGTGCAAGGATTATTATCTTTGTTAAGCAATTTGAAATGTCCTGCTGAACAAGGCTATATAATCTAAGGAAATGTTGTTGACAGTCCATAGCAAGGTTTGGAATTGGGTTCTCAACTCCAAACAGATATTGGAAGATGAAAATGTTAAGCAAGGTATGAAAGATGAAGTGGTGAATGCATTATTATGGATTGCTCTTTAGAAGAGCCAGTAGAAACAAGGTGGGCCAAATTAACTTGTTTTATGCCATACATTGCTATAGTTTCTGTAATTCTGTGAGTTAAAGTGCTTAGGTAAGTGCTGAAGTATTGTGAACATTCCTAATAATTACGGAAGTTTATCACGTACCGATCGCTGATTGTTTAGATATGTTTCCACCAATTGTTTTCCAATTGCCTCCCCTTTCTTCCAGAAGACCATTAGCAATAAATGTTTACTTGTGCAAAAAACATATTTAGAATGAACACACAGAGCTTAAAGTAGCACAAACTTATTATGCAATAACCTAATATCGTAGTTCTGAAATTTATTTTCAATAGCACCATTTTTGTTGGAGGAAGTTGGCTTTTTAGTTACCAATTCCTCTGTCATCTTTTTGTTCATGCGCTGACTTGAGCTTTGAATGATAGCCCCTGCTTTCTTTATCAGCAATTTTGCAGAGGGAGCAATTTCTCAAGCCTTGCTAGCAATTCTGTAGCTTTTCTCACAAATCTGATCATACCTTCTGCACTGCAGGCAACTCAAAAAACAAATGGAAATAAAAATCCGTGTAAGAGAGAAATACAAGTACATTAAGACCACTTTGCAATGACTGAGTCATTAACTGCCTAGGCTGAGTTGAGTTGAACCAGCTGTAAAGGTTCATTTAAGGACAATTTGCTTTCATATTGTAAACAAGAATAGCAGTGAGCTGTGGTTTGTTTATATAGAGTGCGCACAACAAGCTGTGATTGTATTGAGAATACTGCGTGACAGAGTTGGGCTTCAGTTTGAATCCATTCTTTATTCCCAGTTGCTGGGTGACTGTTGTGGAGTATTCCTATCTAATGTTCCACACTGTTCATGCAGTCACTTGCTTTGTGCATTTATTGTTCCCTTGGTTAATGAATGCCAATGGCTGAATGTATTCACAAGGCACTTTTTTTTAAAAAAAGCAGTGAGTATAGGTACAGGATGCCCCTGTGATAAAACGCCTCACTAATTTGCTAATAACATGGATTTCCAACTAGTGGCCCATTATAACAGTGTCTTGATCTTTTGGACCCAAAGCACGTAGTTCAATGTTTGTACAGTGCACTTATTTTTTCTTTGAAACCAAAACCAGGCAGGAACATCACAATCGTTATCAAATGTGATTTTTCTACATGGTTTTGTTTTCAAACATCACAATAGAGTCGCCTTTGCTAATAATACCGAACAACGTTCATTTGTTTTAAAATCGTGCACAAAATACAATATACAGTCAATTCACTTTATGGTATATTCTGTAAAGCGCTTTTAGACGTCTCAACGACGTGATAAGGCGCTATATCAAATGCAAAGATTATTATAAATTCCGCAGCCCACAGCTTGAATGAAAGTTCCTGAAACTGCCTTGTTTGTGTTGGTTTTTTTAATTGACATAAAACTCTTAAGAGACATTACGTGAATGAGCTAACCAAGACAAATCCCATGCATTCATTCATCCATAGCTTTCTCCTGTATAACAAACAAACAAAAATTACATTTGTATAGCGCCTTTCACGTCGGGAGGTGGTTCCAAGTTCCGAACAATCAGCGTTTCGGACCTGAGCTGGGGGACGGGATCAGGGAGAGTGGAGGGCAGGGGGGAAGGAGGGTGACCAAAGCCCCGGTCAAAGAGGAGGGTTTTGAGACTGGTCTTGAAGGAGGCAAGGGACGGGGCGAGGTGGAGGGACTGCGGGATGGAGTTCCAGGGGGGGGGTGTAGAGTGACTGAAGGCACACCCGCCCATATTGGTGGGAGTAGGCAAGAGGTGGGACATGAAGCAGGCTGGAGTCCACAGAGTGGAGGGAGCGAGCAGCTAGGGGGGGTTTGGAGGTCGCAGAGGTAGGGGGGAGCAAGGCTATGGAGGGCTTTGAAAGTGAGGACCAGATCTTGAACTGTATCCTCTGTGTGATGGGAAGCCAGTGGAGTTGAGCGAGGATGGGGGTGATAGGGTGGACACGGCTGCAGAACTCTGGATGATCTGCCGCCTGTGGAGGGAAGAGTTGGGGAGTCCGACAATCTGGGAGTTTGCGTAGATGAGTCTGGATGTTATGAATATGTATGAGGGTCTGAGCAGCCTGCAGTGTGAGACAGTAGAGGTGCCGGGCGATGTTACGGAGGTGGGGAAAGGCGGAGTGGGTCATGGCACGGATGTGTTGTATGAAGGACAGTTGAGGGTCAAACAGGACACTGGAGTTCTGTATTGGCTCTGAGATGTAGAGTGCATTCATGGAGGGAGATACTGTCAGCACCCGAAGTATGGAGGTGCTGACAGGTGCCAAGCAGGAGGGCCTCGGTCTTGTTGACATTCAACTTCAGGAAGTTAGTTCTACTGCTGCCCTTTTGTTGTTTGCTTTGTTGAAAAATGAGTGTGGAACTGTGCGTAAAATGGCCCAGCTGTATCTCTTTCCCTGCTGTAAACCTCCCTTCATAACACAAGCACAAGCTCCCTGTTATTGCAGGAAATGGAAAGGTGAAATACAGTACTATCTTAATTCACCCTGGAGAAACCTGTTTTTTGTAATTTTGGTGCACACATTGTTCTTTTGCTCTGCCAGGGCTCTGCCAAACCCAGAAAATCCTTGAGTGCCAGTGAGTAGTCTTTACTTCAAATTAAAATCTATAAATTTTGATCATTTTCATTCAGCCAACATAAAGTCAGCTGCAGATTGATGAGTATAACTATATACTATATAGGAGTAAAGCTCATTGGCATAAATAAAATGAATGACTGCTCTCTCCACTTGCACAGAATTTAGCACTTTGGCTCGGTTGATAGCATTCTCACTCTGAGTCAGAGGTGATGGGTTGAAGTCCCAAATTGGGACTTGATTGTATAAATTGACACCTTGGTGGAATACCAGGAAAGTGAGACATTATTGGAGGTATTGGCATTCAGATGAGATATTAAACCATGATCCTGTCTACTTATGCAGGTGCATATTTAAAGATCCCAGATTTGTAAAGAGAGATTTGTTTTTCCCCAATGGGAAAATCATCCAGGTAAATTGGTCATTCATTTCATGGCTGTTTGTGCTGTATTTGCCTGCAAATGCACAGTCACTGCACTTGACAACAATTCATTCCTTCAGCATTCAAGTGCTTTTTGAGACTTTCCTTTATTTACAGGCAGTGTATCAAATGCAAGGATTATTATCATTATGATTATTAATTGTAGCCATTCAGTATAATAAATTGCCTGTGCACACCTAAGATTGGGAATTCCTTTCACAGTAACTCCCTGATCTCCTGCACCATGTGACATTGCCTCCTCAAAGGATCGTGAACAGACACTTCTTTCTGAAACATGGCAACAGTGCACCAACGTTCACCCAGTATTTTACCGAGACAAATAGCTGCAATGGTCATGTGTGGCTCTCTGAGGTAGAACAACATCCTTTTCCACCTGGGTTCCTGTGAAGCCCAGGCAGAGGGATGAAAGTCTCGCCTCTGTTACCTGTAATACTTTGGCAGGGTGAAGGGCATCTTGTCAGGGACTGGTCAACCATGAACTAGATCTAGCCATTAAAATTCTTGACATAGAGTTCAGTTTAGAATCGCACTTTAAGCTTCATTTTATTTAAGAGCTTCAGAGGCATAGTTGAGTTTGATGGGTTGGTTTCAGCCTGGGTTAAATACAACCTCAATATTGAATACAAACTGCTAGCTCAAAGGTCCTTCAAGCACAGAGCAAGCTACATGGCAAAGGCTGCCTTTTTTCCCAAGATTTTTTTTCTCCTAGATTTTGCAGGAATTGACCACTTTTGAGAGCTGAGAGGACAGATCGTTATTTAGAATCTTAATTTCCCAGCTCGTTGCAGTTGGCTCTTCCTGAATCAAACTCCACTGTGTATTGTGTAATGTATATATTTTCCCTTTCGCCCCCCCCGCTATTAGGGTTATAATCTTCCTTCATAATAGTTCAAGGATGCTTTAGTTATGATCTAAAAATTGAACAATTTATTTTGGATTCTCATGGTTTAATAATACAGCTGTAAACAGTGAATTTGGGGCGTGGAATTCCAGTTATGCCAAAATAAACAAGTTGCAATGCCCCGGTGGAACTGAATGAACATGCCTGTTTAATGAAATCAGCAGCTGTTTATGCAGTCCGGTCATACAAATTTGAGCAATGATTGCTTCCACTATTTATCCACAGAGAATAATAAAATGTAAGTCACAGATTAATGGGAACCAGTGGCTTTAGTCACAGTGCAAATTTCCACTGTACTGCTCGCTGAGGTGCTGAGCAGGAGCTGCATTTGAAATCAGTGATGGCTATAGCAAACCATGACCCACCATTCACCCTGAACAGTTGACAGCAGTGTGAACTCCTGTTGTTGTCATTTTTAAGTCTTCTCATTTATTTGAGCTGCCCAACTGAAAAAGACAGTAAGAGCAATTCACTGTATTTATTTTCTGCTCAGTGTGCGAAAGCAATATCAAGGGTCTTTCATATTGTAATTCACTTAGTTGTAATCTTTCAGCCCAGAATGATATTAGACAATGTTATTTTTAAGCAACCTTTCCGGATGGAATATTTTGGATTTAAATAAGTAAGAAGCTGGAGCTCTTCAGTACAATTGTCAAGTTTGTTTCGTGAGAACGTGTGTACAAATGACATGAATCTAATGCTAATTTTAATTTATGGTCTGACAGATTTGAAAATATCTTGTAAAAAAGGCTTATTTATATCTTTCGAGCCCTTAAAAAATGTGTTTGTGCAGTTTATCGCAAGATAATAAAAAGCACTTTGCTAAAAAGGTTTTCATGATTGCAGAATCAACTACTGTGATGGATGTTTAGTCTTGCATTTTAGTAAGGTGCTTGCACCTGTCAAAAATAATCCTAGATTTCCCTTACAACTCCCTTCAGCAATAACATGGCTACTGTTTACTTAAAACGTCACGCAATGAAACATCGCAACTATTCAAATGTCCTCGTCGGCAGTCTCCCCAGTTCCATTATCCATAAAATCCAGTTAATTCCAAACTCTGCATGTGCACCTGCACTAAACTAGGTACTTCAATCATACCAGTTCTAACCAAGCTCCAGCAGCTCCCTATCACTGAATAATCAGTTTCAAGATTCTCACACTTGTCTTCCAATCCCTTCAGATTTGCCCTCCTACCGCTCTGCCCTCCCTCATCCCATCACTCCCCCCAACCCCACCCCATGCTCAGGTCCTGATCCCCTCCCAGGGCGCTTTACAAATGTAATTTTGTTGTTGTTCATGCCCTGGCACCTCCCTACCTCTCCCAACCTGCTTACTCACCATACCTACCAACCCATTACCCGTTGCTTCCGCTCGACTGGCTCCGGTCTCTTGCTTGTCCCTTGTGCCCTCCCTTCCACCTTCGGTGGCCGCATTTTCAGCTACTATCCCCTGAAAGTCTAGAACATTATCCTGCTGCCTTGCCTCCTCAATCCTCAGGTTGCACCTTCCTCTTCGATCGTGCCTACAGTCACCCCCCCAGCTCAGCATCGTGTTCTGCCACTGTCAAGCGCTTTGGGACGCTACCCTGTGAGGGGCGCTATATAAATGCGAGTTGTTATTGTTTGAAGATGGAACAAAATTCCTTAATATGAACTTTCATTGTTTTTTTCCCCCCTCAAATTAAATAGAGCAAAGATACTGGAGGGTATGATTCCAGATCTGTGTGGTGAAATGTGGTATGCTGTAGCTCCCAGCAAAATTGCAGCATTTTGTGGAGAAAATTACAGAAATCCCAGTATCGTCCAACTCTGTCATTTTATAGGGTGGAGAGGTTCATGGGGTGGGTAGTTAAGCGCTCTGGGACACTATCCTGTTGAGGGGTGCTATATAAATGCAAGTTGTTGTTGTAGGTTTATACGGTGGGTAGGTTTATACCCAATTTTATAGTTTATAGTTTTGATTTGCACTCTATTGGAATTGTGCTATGCTTCGTTTACTGGGTTGACCGGCAAACCCAATCCTAGTCAACAGTTACATGAGTGGCAACTTGGAAAAGGTCATTTATATTTTGTAGACACGCTATAAACACTGGGTCTCATTCTATGGGCCCGAAAGAGCACATTATAACAGGGACAGACAGTTTATGATAGTGAACTGTTTTCATAAGCCACCAGTCGCTACCATATAAACCTGTGTAAAATGTAAAGCATATCATTAAAAGATAGCAAGTTTCAAGGAAAATTGGGCATTAATATTGGGGCAAGTACTATATTTGTAACAAATCTGAAGTCAGAATCATAATTTGTACTTTTTCTTCAGATCTTTCAAAGTAACAAAATGTTTAATTATCAAATTTCTAAAGAATTGAATGTGTTGAGAAATATATTGATGGAGAAAAGTTTACCCACCTAACTGTTATAATTTTGTCCTTCAGATGAGATGTTAAATCGAGGTCCATCTGCCCGTTCAGGTGGATGTTAAAAATCCTCATGGCACTATTCAAAAAGAGAAGGGAGTTTCTCCCGGTATCTTGGCCAACAATCTCCCAAACTAACATTAGTCATTCACTCCATGGCTGATTGTGGGATATTGCTGTGCGCAATTGGCTGCCACATTTCGCCCACAAAAAATACATAGACAATCCACTTTACAGTTTATCCTGTGATGCATTTTGAGACATCTCAATGACATGATAAGGTGCTATATCAAATACAAGGATTATTATTATAAATTTTATCCCAACACTTTGCAGAAGATCCGTTTGCAGTTGACCTTGACTCGGATTGGAGCCCACCAACAGAGGAATGGGGCAATTGGACAGGACAGGAAATTTTGACAGTCCATGAACTGGAGAAAGAGAAGCTGAAGGTAATAATGAAAAGGTACTGCCCAAGGAGAATTGCTGAGAAAAGGTTCTACTCTCCTTAATGTAAACACAGTGAATTGCTTTGAGATGTTTTGACAATGTGAAGAGAGAGGCACTATACCAAGTGCAAGGATTGTTTTTTTGCAGAAAACTATCACCATGCTTAAAGAGTATCCAAACCAGAGTAAAATTCCATATCTGTATACCACCTATACAATTTCCCCATGTCTGGAATGAATGCACACTCTCCCTGGAGACACATACTTCTTATCTAATTCCAGAGAGGATTAGATACAGATTAGGAAGAACAAATACTTGGGGATCACAGTTTGGGAAGAGCCAAGGCTTGGGGGTATGTTTTGGGAATAATACGTGAGTTTAACCAGCTAAGACCATACGGCTTGCCATTGAAAACACTATCTGGCAAGCTTCCTGTTTCTTATCCAGCAAGGACCATTCTACTTATTAGGGCTTTGGCTTGTCGGGCTAACAGGAGCCAAGTAGGAAGAATCCCTGCCCTCAGTGATTGGCTCCTGTTCCAAGTCTTGCTGATGAGCCGGGGTTTCTGCAACAACACATGGGGAATACTGCCTGTGCTACAAGCAACTGAAAAGTTGGAATTTATAGTTAGGGAATTTTTACTCTGGTTTAATACAAGATTGTGAAGGCTATTTAAATTGGAGTTAAATTACGGAATGGAATAATCTCATCTTGAATTAATAGCATGGTACCAATTGAGGGTGCAAACGTACATGCTCTAAACATTCTGAGTACAGGCAATTTAAGACTGGCTGTTATGGCAGACAATGCCATTGCAAAATATCATATAACATTGGTTAGTTTTCAAGCACCATTCATTTGTGAAAAGTTTAGCTTTGGGACTGAGGTGTAAAGAGCAACTTTTGATGTAAATACCAATGACTAAAGGTATTGTAAAATCCAGTTCAGTTGTTCTGACTTGATTAGTGTAACCTGTTTTCAAAAAAGTTTTTTAAAAATAAGTTTTAAGCCAGGAAAAAAGGAGAGGAGGCCCAATTAATCAGTCCATAAGATGCTATATCATATGCAACATTATTATTAATGTATCCCTGATGGTTCATACTTTTAAATTGATAGGTTTGCTAAAATCACTCTTGTTTATGAAAACAAAAACAGAAGTCGCTGTGAACACTCAGCAGGTCAGACAGCATCTATGGAGAAAGGAAAGCGAGTCAACATTCTGACGAAGGGTTGTGGACCCGAAACGTTGGCTCACTTTCTTTCCTCCATAGATGCTGTCTGACCTGCTGAGTGTTCCCAGTGACTTCTGTTTTTGTTTTCATATTTCCATCATCTGCAGTATTTTGTGTTTTGTCACTCTTGTTTATATCAGCTTCATAATCTTGAAAACATGTATCAGGTTACTTTTCCAAGTCTCTTAACAATTTATATTTCTATGTCCTGAGCTTCAAACTCACTCATGTTCTTAGGCTTAAAACTACTGTATTAAAATTTACGTTTATGCTGAATTTTGGAAAATTCTTAAAATGCAATCTTAATTTCGAAGTCGGTTCCGCGTAGTTCTTTTTAAGATGAAACTGGTATCTCATGAAGCAGTTCCAAAATCTGGAACTGGATAGTCATCAATGATCCCTGGAAACGAGGGCGGTCAGTTTTTGAGCTGCCTTCACACCCAAGGATCATGCTGAAGTTAGGAGGGGCAGATGGGATGTTGTAAGCCCTACAGTCAGTGATACATACCCATAGAATACTTCATATCCAAGCCATAATTATCGCAGCGCAAGGTACATTTGTCACAGTGTAACGAAATGGACAATGGAAATTGTTAAGAAAAACAACTTGCATTTATATAGACGGAATAGCATTTTACCACCCCTACTGTTGTGAAGTGCTGCAAAATGCTATTCTTCACACAGAATAGCATTTTGCAGCACTTCACAACAGTAGGGGTGGCCCCAATGCTGGGTGGGGAGGGGGGGAGGATATGTGACTGTAAGCAGGGTCGAAGAGGTCAGTCTTAAAGAGGGATTTAAAAGTGGATAAAGAGGGATAGAAGTGGAGGAATAGACTAGAGTCAAGAGGAATTGTACGTAACACAGAGCCAGAGATCATTTGCCTATTTGCTCTTCCATTCATGCCAAAAACTGGTTCTATCAGTTCTTGAAGTATTTTCGTTAGAAATTGTCTCGTACACCACAGACCCCAAACAACTAGATTTTTGAGGAATATTCTCCCATTTTTTCTGTTCAGGTTTAGAGGGAGCTGTGTAACTGGTGATGGGGAGAGGCCAGGATGGAAAGACAAATCCAGTGACTTCTTCATGGTACAAATGATTCTGTTGTACAGGTATCTGAAGAGGAAGAAGAAAAATGTCAGATGAACCCGAGTAGCGGCGGGAAATCAAAACGAAAGAAGAAAAAGAAAAAAGGGAAACAAACAGACGATGCTGCTGGAAACGAAGAGGTAAACTCCCATTTAAAAGCTTAAAAAAAATTCATCTCTTTTCCTCCCCAGTTCAAGTGCAAACCGTGAGATTGTCCAGCACCTTGGGACGCCTTCCTGACCCGAAAGGTGATATATAGATGTAAATTTGTATTGTAAAGTGCAAAGTTAGTCAGTGATTGAAAAATCAGTGAACTTTAAACAATCCCATGGCAAAAAGAGAAGGAAATTTCTTCCGGTGTGTTGGCCAGAAATCCCCCAAATACAACTTGTCGACAACAACAACATGCATTTATGTAGCTCTCTCCAACCCCTCTTTTAGATTACGACTGAAGATGTGGAGTGGGAAGAAAGCAGGTCAGTATGGGAGGGAAGAGCTCGGGTGTGAAGATTTTTAAATTTACAATGACAACATTAATATTTCAACACTAAATTTTAAATATGAAGCATTTTGAGACGTCTCTACGATGATAAGGTGGTATATCAAATGCAAGGATTATTATTTATTTTTATATAGTGTTTCTTCTTGAATCTGCCAACTTTGATCCAGATTTTGAATGTAGGAGAAGAGGAAACTGACTTAATTTAATCAGTTTCCTCTACAATGGTGATGAAGTGACAATTTTTTGCATTAAAACTGTTTAAAATTGTGGATTCCTTCAGATTGTTCCCACGTGGTGGGGATGTGAGTAAAGGGAAGGGGAGGGAAGGAATTTGTGCTGTGTGACACAGACTGAATAAAATAATCAATGATCTGCTCCCAATAACAAACGTTTCTGATGTTTAAGAGTAACATTGTGTAAGGTAAAGCTATCACTGTGGCTGATCAGAGTTTTCATGTTTTGCTAAAATACTTGATAATGTTTTGTTTCAATTGAAAGCTGAGAGATGATTCTCAAAAGAAGATTCCGAGTGAGGAACATTCAGTGGGAATGGTATTGGAACAATCAGAAATCAGGGAGCAACAGTGTTTAATGGAGATTCCTCTTACAGAAACATGGAACACAGGACCCAGCACAGCATCTGATAAAAGTAAGCCATGCAACTGCAAAGTAGCAACGAGTTTTCTTCTATCGGTTAAGATTGTATACTCTATCATATTGCAATTTGACAATGACATTGAAGCCTCAGGCTTGGGGGCATCCTTTGGACTGTGAATGAACAAGTATTTTTGAGACATTTAGCATGCTGGATTTTAGCCAGTTTTGTAGATAGGAAGAGAAAGAGCTTGATTGGGGAAGGAAGGCATTTTTTAATTGAGATTCAGGGCAAGGGAATACCCTAATGCATATAATGTTTTAAATGAAATTGTAATCAAATTAATGTACTTAAATTAAAGTACATTTTGATAAGGTATATTTTCTGAGGTTAGATTTGTTAAGCTTTTAATATATATTAATTTGGCCTGGTGCATTTGTTAATTTCATAAGGTATATTTATATTCTCCATTGTCTCTCTGGTAATCTTAAGGACAGACATTCAGCCCCACATTACTTTTACCTTATTTTGCACTCCATTGAGTGCTTGGGAAATGACAAGACAGTGGTTGTAAAATGAGATTACATCTGTTACCCACGTTCCCCCCCAAAAAAACAGAATATAGTCAGTTTTGGCCTTTACCATAAGCTCATTTGCTGCCAGCAGTTGTCTCCCGAAGCATGCTGTGGGCAATTATTGTCTAAATTTTATTTTATAAATATTTTCCTTTTTGACAGGCAATGACTTCATTCTGAACAGCACAAAAACAGAGAGGAAGAAAATGAAAGCCAGAAGAGAAACTTGACAATGTCTTTTGATTTGTGAAAATGCTTCAGATTTTACTGATATTGGTTACTAGCTACAAGCTACAAGCGTTCCGCTGCAGGAAGCATTGCACTAAGCCCATAAAATGAAGAAAGGGATAAAACAGTAGGAATCTCTGGTCTAGTGTTGGAAACTGCAGAGCAAAATAAATGGAGCTGCTGGAGTCAAGTGCTTAATGACGTTGTGAGGTGCAATTCATCCACAAATAGAGATGTGTTCCCTTACACTTTGTACATTTTCCTATTCTAGCACAATGTGGAGCCCCAAAACAGCTTTGCCAGTTTCAAAGCAGCCTTGCTTTACACATAGAAACAGGCTAGACTTTTTTTTATTATTCTGATTATTGCAATCCATTTAATACTGGCCGTGTTCGGTTGAGATACACAGGAACAAGTGTTTTAACGTCTTATTGCGAAAGAAGTGTTTTAAAACTAACCACGGCTGCCTCTTTGTGTCTTTAAAGGGCACATTTTGTGATCATACCACCACGTTTCCTGCAGATACAGACACAAAGATAAGCAGATACTTTCAACAGTGTTGAGCTGTACATGTAGAGTTCTCTGCCAGACTAAGAAAAAAGCCTGCCATATGTCTGCTGTCAGCTCATAGCAATATTACAGCATTTCAGGTATTATCGGTAAATAGCTCAATAAAATCTTGCTTTATATTTAATATTTTAAGAATGCAATTTTGTATCTTTGGCAGATACCTTTTTCATTGGATCTAAAGTGCACTAAAACCACATTAATTTAAATGGCTACATTGTGCAGAAGATGCTGGGAGCCTAATCTTAGACCCCCCACACACGCACAGTTTGCACTCTATGTAGCCCCAATGCTTTCAGATGAATCTTTTTCTCTACAAATCTTTACTCTTAGAAAATGCACTGTACCCATCACTGATGTCAGTACTGGTGCATTTCTGAAATCTTCCATTATATAAGAGAAATAAATTCAAAATGGAAAAACTGGTGTTATAAGTAAAGGATTCTGTGATCAGTTGTATAGTACGAATATTACTATGCCCAATTACTCTGACCAGGTAAGTATCCAGGGATCTTCATTACAATTATGTTGACCGGCACAAAATTCAAAAAAGAAATGAAAAATTATAATAAATCATAATCCTTTTAACCTTATCACATTATTGAAATGTCTCAAAGCGCTTCACAGGACTTACCATATGTCACATGTAGTGACTGTATATTTCTAGGCGAAAATTGCATGTAATGTGCTCATTTTAAAATGTGTTGCCAGTAACCCAATCAGGTATTGCAGAATTCCACAAGTACATGGTTTAGTCATAACGTGATAAAATTAACTAACAATATAAACTCTTGTGAAATGTGACAATGAATCTGAATATAATCAGATTGATTCAAGCCAATCAAAGAACAAAGATTCCATGATTTTGGCCAAATTTGGATATATTATAGTAAATAATAATCCTTACATTTGATTTAGCGCCTTATCACGTTGTCAAGCTGTCTCAAAGCGCTTCACTGAATTTTACTGTGAAGTGTAGTGATTGCGTGTTTGTAGGCGAAACATTAAAAACTGTGCTGACGTTATGAAAGATCAATAAGTCGAGCGACTGAATTTACTGTACAGGAAGCAAGAGCACGGTTATTTATGGCACGTTAAATTATCCATCACTAATCCAGAAGTTTGGACCTTGCCCATTTATACATACAAACACATTAAACCAATTCTCCGATCGCTGGTAATTTTGTGAACCTTGGCAGCTTACCACAGTTGATAAATGAATGACCATTAGGTGGATTGCCTCCCTTGTGTACTAACTGCTGAAGTATTCAATTCTTTGTATGTAGATAAATGATGCAAGGAGAATTTCTGGTTGTACTTTGAAGAGAACTCTGAGAAGTAATGGCATCAAGTATTCTTACGCTGTTTTTATGTAAAAAGCCCATTACATCTAATATACAACCAATACCTCCTAAACCAGAATCCTTAAATATAGCAAAGAAACAAAATATCCAGATTTACACAGGTGTTTGCTACATTTGCTCCCCGATAGTTTTTAAAGATTAGTGATTAAACCCATACAGGGTTTTGAATGTTTTATCTGCATAAATGAAAATATTTTTTCCAAATGTACAGAAATGCAACTTTTTAACTGCTCATGTTAAATTAGCCTTAATGTTAACTAACAGTTTTATAGAACAATATTTAACAACAGTTTTCACAAATGCTCATGTCTTCTTGCGAGACTTCCTTTCTTTCCTTTTTATAACACTTCAACAGTGCTTTGCTTCTCGCCCTTCCCTTGCAGCAACTGTTTGTAAAGAATTAGGATGTACTTCTGTAATTTGAGAAGTACCATCTAAATTTAGGCTGCTGTGAAGTTACAAGTTGACTTTTGTTTTGTGTTTAGCTGAGTAGCTGACCAGAGCTGTTTGTGTAAATCTCTACTTTATTTTGTTGAATTCTTTCATAAGAAAGCCACATAAATATGACGTGTTATTGTAGTACACAATAACAGTGGGAACTTAGTGATTAGTAAGTACAGTCATAAAGGTGTGTATAGTTTACACGAGTATATAAGCCACACCAATTTCACGTTTGGTTAGAAACTTCATAAGGTGTACCAGTATATGTCAGGTTTATGTTGAAAAATGGTTAATATGGTTAATGAGGGAATTATACTTTTACTGCAGGTAAATTATTTTTGACTTGCCTATTTGAATTCTATATTTCTGAGACCTGTTGCTTTCTTGTTTGTACTACTGTATGTTGAGCAGTCCTTTGGTTAATACTAGTCTAGAAATAAGTAACTAGTATTTTGATAATATGGGCAAAAGTTTCAGTATGAGTCTGCATTACTGTATAATATGTTTGCACTTTATTGTTGTTGAGTTTGTAAGTTGTTTTTAGTTGGTGTAATGAAATGAATGTTGTATGTTTCAACAATCAACGTAGCAGTTTGTAAGAAGAAACATCACAGCAAGTATGAATCGTGAGATAAATACTCTACACAGTGGGTATAGTGGAACACACTTTATCATTTCTAAGTGGAAGACCTGTAGTTCACAAATGTCTCAAAGCAGGATAATAAAATACATCTCATGATAGCAAAGCACACGTGGCATAAATCATTCTGCTCTAAGTTAGACAGGATAATTGTTTTAACTTTGGATGTATTTCTGAATCTATTAAGTATGTAGCTGTGAAATTGGAATTTGTACTGTGCAAATGTGATTTGCCACACAATAATTATGGTGAAGGTTTTTCCAGTATATTCTAGTTAAAAAATATGATCGTTTCATTATGTGTAAAAGGTGACGATTCGTTTTACTTGGCATTGGATATTTAAGATTCACCTGTTTTCTGTTCTTTAAACAAAAAAACCCCACAGTATTCATTTTGTGGTTAAGCCTACATCAATTGACAACCAGCCATAGATTCCTGCCAACATTACATTTCAAGATTCCAGCAAGAAAAAATATTGGATCGAATTCTTAGAATTCTTAAGAGTTAAAATAGCTAAAAGGTTCTTCGGCATTTAAGTACAAACTCTTAAATGTCCAGTTTGTACTGCTGGGAGCAAAGCAACTTGGCTCCCAATACAATAGTGACGAGGAGCCAGAAGCCTGATTTACACCACTTGGTTCATATTGTTGCGAAACAGGATTGAAAACGAAAACTGGATTTCCATCCAGTGTTTGCTTTTTAATGTTGTTATAGAGCCAGTCGTTGAGATTGGCTATTCAATATTAAAAATGGTCCATTCAGAAGTACCAGGCTGCCAATGGAAAGTCTGAGAGTTTTGAGTGGAGCATAAGAGAGCATGGGAAATTGAGCCTGGTTCAATTTGTACTTGCTGAGCTTATACTGTATATTTGCAAATCACATTGCTGCTGGTATCACTTTCTCTAGGTTGTGTCAGGGCTGCAGCACAAACCGTGCTTTTCATCTCTTTCTACTGCATGTTTGGCATCAGTCATTTGCCAAAAATTCCAGTGGTTGGTTGCGAAATGTGCTTGAGCAATTCGTAATGGGGAACTATATACAATACAAAATTACATTGTATAGCGCCTTTCACATTGGTGGGACTTCCCAAGGCGCTGGACAGTCAGGAATTAGGACCGGAGTTGGGGGTAGGGATCAGGGAGGGTGGAGTACAGGAGGAGGGTGGCTAAAGGCATGGTCGAAGAGGATATTTATTTACTCTTGTCTAAATTGCTCTCATCCTGGGTGCAGCCAACTGTGCATGTGCAGAACTGTACTGGTGAAGGTGGGTAATTTTACATTATAAAGAGTTCAAAATTCCACTGATTCCCAAATAGCTACAAAGTCTCTTCCTCCCTCCCTTCCTCCCCCCAAACATAAATTTATGACGTTTAACAATTTATCTGAAATGGGCTGCAGTAAAACCTGATTTAGCCATCAGTAGACACTGAGGGATGGATTTCAAATCTATCTTCTGGAGGGAGGCTTGTGAGTGGGCCTCAAATTGTAATCAATGCCACCAAAGCTGGTTTCGCACTGCACTTTTCACATCCAATTTGATGTGGAAACTGCATCAAATTTCTGCAAACTAGTATTGAAGTGGAATGGCAAATTTATCAACTCTTGCAACTGTACTTGTCACATTCGTTCATCACTACCCACAGGCTTCAGCAGATTGTGCCAACATATGAAGTATAAAGTAGGTCAACCGTAGGATACACTGGGCTAATATTACCCTGTCAAAAGCATCTCTAAACTTGACTGCTCATCTTAATTCTATTACAAGAGCGCACCAAAAAGTCTGGGGCTTTTCCTGACAGTGAAAGTAACCACCCACTCACCTACTTCTGACGTCTCAGAAACATCGGTAGATTTTTTTGAAGGTATTTCTATAATTTGAAATATTAAGTATTCAAGCCAGAGGATAAATGTATGTGTGGGGGAGCAGAGAAGGATCTTAGTATTTTACCATATTTAAGGGAAATGTGTAGAGACGTGCTGCTTCATGTAGTATTGGTATGATTCTCAGAATTTATTAGTGTAACTTTGAGGACCTGCCCTTTTAATTTCCATAACCGTGGCTATCATTCTCATCCACTGTAACACCAGAGGCTACCAGCCTGCACGTATTCCATTTTAAATAAATGGCAAATCAATTTATCAAAAGAGAAGGTTGAGTGTTTTGTTCTCCATT